TATATATATGTGAGTATTATATGTTATATATTTTTTTCTTATTCTTTCTTATTCTTTTTCTGTGGTTTTTTCTTTTCTTTTTTTTTCTTTTTTTTTGTCTAAGTGAAACGATCTGCCGCGTACAACTACCTTCAACTATATATACATTTTATTTTATAACTTATAATGCAAAATGTATGTCTTGCTTTATGGCCTGGTACTTATATGCACTTTTGCTACAAAAAGAAAAAATCAAAACCGTAGAAAATGTCATTTAGAAAATACAGAAAATGTATATCACTCTGGGGTTGCAAATGATTTATATATTTATCGCAATGGACATGTATATGTGTGTTTTCTGTAAATTTGTTCCACGTATCAGCTCCCCTGCTTTGAAAAAATCATCCTATCCTCGTCACCACATTTTATTCTTGATATTTCATTGAGGATTTTCGTTCCCTTTTCGTTGAAAATAATATCTACCATGATTTACTGAACAGCTCCTGAGACTAACTGCAAGGCAGAACCATGCCATCCTGTTCTGTTCTCTTCTCCAATGTTGTGTTCTAATTTCTTTCTCTCTTCGTGGTTCCAGTCTCTTGCAGGCTATAAGCTTTTGGTGGCGGCTCGTTGCAGGGGGACACTTTATCACTGCATCTCGAGGTGGTCTTGTTACACCCGATCCTTTTCTTTAACACAACGTGAATGCTGACTTTATGTTGTGCGGTCAAGATTAGCATTTAGAAGATTTCTTGATTTATGTGATTCTTTAGATTCCACTTTACAATTATACCGATTTTTTTCTGCTATTGAGGTGTTGCTTTCCTTAACTTAAACTGGTGATATTTACTATGACCTTGTCTGGCTACAGAGCGTTTCTCGGTGTTAAATTATTTCATTATACCAGATACAATACTTTTTGAAAAAAGTTTTTTGTTTGTTTTAGAAGGGTGGGGTATAGCCCTAATAGTTATTTGTAGTTATTTTTCTTCTTTTTTTAAATTTTATTACCAGATTATTGGTAACACAGTGATCTTTCAAGTACTCCGCATATCACCAGTTGCTGTGTTATGTTTACTTTTCATTGCTGTTTAGAGTTGCCTTTCTAACGGAGAGTTCTCCATCCATTCTAGATTATCTTTAAATCCATCTATGTGCTTCCACTTCCAATTCAGTCCATCATGTGGCATAAATGTATTTTAACCCTTGAGGGAAAAATCATTCTATTGCGATGTCTTTCTCAAAAAGATAAGAATCTGCAGCTCTGATTCTTTCAGCAATAACCCCGTCGTAACTGTCAATATGTCCTAAAGATCGAGTCAGTGTTTCATTACTGTTTACGGAAGCATTGCTCGCTATATTTTTCCATGGTGTCCAGTTCTGATTTTAGTTCTGTCTTCTTCACCGTGTATGCTAGTATTTTTTCTTCTCTTTTTGCCTCTTCTCAGTGTCTTTTTCAGTATTTTTCAACTCACATCTCTTTGGATTTCACTGTAACTATAAAATGGTAGTTTGAGAAAGTTTGCCTTTTTAATATCTTTCTACTCATTCGATTATATGATTAAATTTGATAATTAATTTGCCATTTCTTCTGTCCTGAAACATTCTAGCTTTTGATTGGCTTGTCCAATCTCTTTTTTAAGTTTTGTTTAGTCTTCAGTTGTGTGTTTGTCTTTTACTCTCATGTTTCTGCAAGATCCCTCTATTTTTTCCCCTTTTTGCTTGTTTCTGGTTTCAACTTACTCTGTAGTTTATTACACACCCAAACCAAATAGTTCGCATAGCCTTGGATAATCTTACTTCTTCCATTTCGATCTTAAAGCATCATTCTCTTTGTCAGTGTATATTCCTCTATTCCGACAAGCACAGCCGCTTACAGTGCAAAGCTACAAGCCGCGTTTGCCCCGGTTGAGTTGAAGTAAAATCGCCGCAGCCTCCAATCACCGCTTCTCTTTTAACGCCTCGTATATCGCTTTCGATTCCTTTTCTACCGTCTTGTATAACAAATGTAACAAGAATGGTTATCTCGTATTTTCAAAACTAGTATGGAACTGCTGTGTGTGTGTGCGCGCTCGCGCACGCGCGTCACATCCCTCAGTCCCTGCTGCCTTTACCCCGCGATCGACGATGTTCGTGTTCATATGTGAACGTAATTTCGCTTTGTGCGGCGGCTAACGATGTATCTCCTCGTTGAGTGCATCCAGGCTCTCCGTCTGTCTCTCTCTCTCTCTCTCTCTCTCTCCAATTCTGTATTCTCCATTTTGTCGGCGTGTTTTTCTCTGTCTGTCATTGATTCTTTCTCTTTCCTCGTCAGTATATCCTTATCAATCTTCTCTCTCTCTCTCTCTGTTTAACTATTTATCTATCTTTCCTCTTTCTAACGCACTCTTTCTTCTTTTATAAGTCTGTTCCTGTGGGTCTGGCGTCTGTGTTTCTGTCTTTAAATAACATCTCAAGACATTAACCACAGTCTTTTCCCCATTTCAGAGATACTCTTCCAGACTCGCTTTCCTTCCACATTCCCTCTCCCCCTCTCCCTCTCTCCTCCTCCAGTGTCTCCACTCCCTTTACCCCGTTCCCTCTCCACATCCTCCCCCCCTCTCCTCCCCATGCGCCCCCCTCCCCCTCCCATAATCACCCACCCTCCGCGCGCCCACCACTCGTCTTTGTCAGCCAGGCGCAGTGAGGGCGTAATTATAAGTGAGTAATGCCACAATAGCTGCTGTTTGAACACTCAATCCATTGTGCTAATATGTGGCTTTATCCTCGACACTGCCGAGCCCGGAGGCGGCGCTCCTTCCTCACGCCGAGCGAGGCTGCTCCGCGGCGCCGTCGCGGCCGGTGCGCGCGCTCGTGGAAGCTGCAGGGACGTTNTGTGTGTGTGTGTGAGCGTGTGCGTTTGTACAACCATGTTGGCTGGCGAGCGGCCCCGACGGGCGGTGTCCGGGGGCTCCTCGTGGCGCTGCGGCGCCGGTCCTCCAATGATCTTCGCTGGACACGAGACTGCAAGGCGGAGACCAGACTTGCCTTCTGAGGGCATGACACAATAATGTATTTATTAGTACGTGAAACTGCTCTTATGAAGTTACACATTTCTGCCTAAACAATGCGTTGGTGTCAGGTCTCGTGCAGGACAACAATATTTAAGAAGCCATCTGCAATCCCATTTTTTACATTACTTTCCCATAAAAACAATTCAGTGTTTGTTAAAGATGTGTTTGGCAACCCCGATTCCTTAACCTATAATCACGAACCTTAACTCCGCCCGCCAACCACTTTCATGAATCTTTCCGAAAAAGTAGAGTTGCCCACAGACACCATCTATTAATTCATCTGTTTTGCATATAATTAAATGGTTGTACATGGGTATATTCTGTGATATTTGAGTGGTCGTTGCATGAAAGCTAAACCATAAGCGTCATTTGTGGCGTTATTTCATGTCAAACTCCGCCCGCTTCTCCCACAGCGCCAGAGGGCATTTACTCTCGACGTACGAAACGCCCTCACGCGCGCGCGCGCGTGTTTCTGTTTGGTGGGATGTGTCCACGAGTGTGTTTGTGTGTGTGTGTGTGTTTGTGCACGTGTCTGTGTGGTTGTGCACGTGTGTTTGTGTGTGTGTGTCCACGAGTGTGTGTGTGTGTGTGAGAGTGTGTTTGTGTGTGTGTGTCCACGAGTGTGTTTATTTGTGTGTGTGCGCGCGCGCGCGTTTCTGTTTGGTGGGATGTGTCCACGACTGTGTTTGTGTGTTTGTTGGTGTGTGTTTGTGTTTGTGTGTGTGTGTTTGTGTTCGTGTGAGTGAGTGTGTGTGTGTATTTGTTTGTGTGTGTGTGTGTCCACGAGTGTGTTTGTGTGTGCGAGAGTGTGTTTGTGTGTTTGTGTGTGTGTGTGTGTGTGTGT